TAAATTGCGGAAACAATTGGACAAAACAAGAAAAATGAGACTAAAGCGAGAATATGCTGAGTTCTCTGTACGGTGTCGAATCTATGGGGATAAAGTGACGTATGCTGAAACGACTTAACCGAATTCTAATATATTGATAAGATAGCTTTTCCTTTTTTCTCTACGCAATTAGTTATCAGTAAGCAGTAATACAACTATTCCCAGAAATCACAGTTAACTGATAAAAAGTATAAAGCGCCAAAAAATTCCCAGAATAAAAAACAACAACATAGGTATAAAAAATCAGTCCGCTCAACAATTCAAAGACACAAATAAAACACCCATAAAAGATAAAAGAAAAGCAAAATATGAAAATCAAAAAAAAAACAACCACTCCAAGAATAATCAAAAATATATAATACAAAAGCAAAAACTAACATAGCCTTTCTAAAAAAAAACAAAAGCCAATATAAAACAAGGCGTAAACAAAATAGTCATAATACTTTAACTTCAAATCAAATCATAAATATTTCACGAAGCATTCTCAACGATAAGTCATTAAAGAATTCAAAATTCAATGTTATGGACAAAAAAAACAATAGAATAAAATAAAATAAAGAACTTCTATAACAAGAATAGTATAGGCATACCTCATGATTCAAACATTATATATATATATATATACCAAAATATCTTTCAACTAGCCCTCTAACTCACTATAAAAAATAAAATGTTTAATTTACCTCAAATTGAAATCGTATCAACGAATTTAAACAAAAAATTTTTCATGAGTTTAAAAGTCTGATAGCTTATTCGTTGCTTCCAGATTGGCATGAATTCTCCGAGTTACAAAAAAGATTTCTACAACTGAAGTCTTCATAACTGTGCTATCATTACCACTCATAAACAGCAAATAAAAAAACAGTAAATATTAAATAATCTTTAGTTTCCATAAGTCCGAAATCTTTTCATTGGAAATAAAAATCTCGACAATTATAGTACCAAAATTTGTAACTATAAAATAATTTCGTACCATTAGAATAAATATACAAGTGATATGAATAACAAAACTAATGACAAGAACTACGAATTACATTTAAATTGACAATTGGTGATATGACCATTGCTTCATATCATTAATGAAACAAAATATTACGACGATATGATGTAATAATAAGAAAAAAGAAACAATGAAAACAGCATACCAGTAAGAAACGCATGTTTTGGGAATTTTCAAACTCTTTCAAAGCTCTTACCTGCTGCCACCATCTTGCAAACTAAAATTCTCTAAAGAGTTTACTAACCATCTACAAAACTCCATAAATAGTAAAAATGAAAAATTTTTTATCCAAATTCAAATAACTTTAAAATTGATTTTATCCAATCAACCCAGTTTAAAAAATATAACTAAGATCATATGATTCTTTAAAAATTTGAAAATCATTTGAATTTGTCAATGCTTACTTTGATAAGCTGGTACTGATACGAATATTTTGATTCCCATCTGTCCGACTGAAACGATTTCCAAGTTTTGTAAGCTTTGACCGTACGGAATGAGCAACACTCATTAGCGGACTTCGTGGCATATCTTCTGATCGCCTGTTTTGATTGGAAATGATTACTGCGGTTTTTGTTGCCAAACTATGCGCCATTGTATTTTCGATAACTAATGACCCATCGCTTTCAACCTTTTGTGAAGATACCTGCAGTTCCTAGAAAAATTTATAAAGGTCCTAAACTAGAATTTTTGAAATTTTAAAAACAAATCTGTGTATGTGATAAATTCATGGAAACAATATTTCTTGGAAAGTTGAATTTAAAATCAAGTATTTAACAACAAGATTATGTTTATGTCAAAAAGCATATTTTAATTCTAAAATGGTCTCGATAAAGAGATATGAAAGAAAGTAGAGATGAAAAGAATGAAGATTGAATTATTGTTCACTCTTTCTTCTAAACATACTTTCTAAATTTAAATTGTACCCAGAAGAACTAGGACAATGACTTCTCCGTGGATACCATTTATCGCCTTATTTATTTATGTTCCAACTTGTTGTAGACTTGATGATATTAACTCCAATATATTTTATTTTTGAAATTACCTTTGCGGTAAATGATGCAACAAGCTCTCCTATGGATTTAACACATGATGGTTCTCGAAGGGCTCGGGAAGTTGAAGGTTTGCATTCAGTATTATTATTTTCAATGCGCTTTTCCGATGTATGAGTCATAATTGAATCATTGGATTTCGATTCTGGTATCGGTGGTATGGTACGATTCAATGGTGGTCGCATTTTAGCATACCCTTTTTCGGCATTATTCTCCATAATTGAGCGTGATGATGGAACAACAACCAGTGTATGCGTACGTGGGTAAGGATATGATTGCGAGGACGAACGATAAATTCTAAAAAGTTATTGTTTCTGATTTAACTAAAGAAATAGGATGAGAGTGAAAAAAAATCTAAAATGACTTCCTATATATATATGGTGCATCGTCCGTTTTCTTCAGCATTATTAAAATCTAAATTTAAAAATATAATTTAAGTGGACTTCAAGCTTATTTCAAAATTTTGGATTTTCAAAAGGATAAGAAATATTACAGAAATTGGCAGCAAAATATTTTTTTACCAAAGTTATAAACATAACCATACATTTAGGACTGCATAATATAAAATTTTTGTAATTTTTCGTGAAATCCTCTAACGAACTCTCTGCCAGCGATACGTTAGCAAATTGAAACTTGAGTTGAAGTATTTGGGGAGAAACTGATAAAAATAAGATTAAATAGTAACTGGATATTAAATAAATATTTCTTCATTCATTGGCCGACTTGTCTGTTACCATACTCAATTGATTATTTATTTTTTTCTTTTTTTATTGTCCCAAGAACAGCATACAAAAGCATTGGAACATCACTAATTTAAAGTAATTCAATTTTAAAATAAAAGTCAAGGTTAAGAAAATGCTCCGTCTTATGAGAATGATTTAAGGATGACTTAAAATTTCACTTCTGAAATTAACAAACCAATGTCTTGTAGCCATCTAAGAACCAACAACTACAATGTAATAAATTTGCCGTCGATTTATCAAATCAAAAAAAAAATTGAAAACAAATTTAATATACAATTAACCTATTGAAGTATTAAATTAATGATAATTGTGTGCAATTGAAAATGAAAATTTTTAGATTGTGTAAAAATGAAAGAGAAGTTAGGAAAAGAGACTTATAAAAAAGAACAAATTTTTCAATGGCAATGGCAGCCTGTGAAGGACAATGCGTGCATTCTTTCTCTTGAAACGAAGTTGAATAAGTATGCTTGGACCAGTCAGTCCATCCAATTATTGCTTTTAAACATAATAACTGGTACATTATGCACCTATTGAAAAAGCAAGAGTTAATATCATTTGCA